CTAGTAATTTACGCTATGAAGTATTTCCATTCGACATTAGTTATCTGACAAATTGCAATTATTGTCAAGTAATTTGGAAGCTCCCAGTTGTGAAGTTCACCAGTGACCTCAACCAAATCGAATTACTGTAATTCATTCGATCAAACGATTATTCGAAAACTTTTCTATATTTCAAGTAACACTACCTAACGCAGGAATATTCAAGATAAACCTGCAGTGATAACCACGCAATTCAATTCACTCATACATTACATTATTTTCATTCCGTATAATTTCCCCCGAATCGGGCAACGTGTTAATAAACCAAATACTCTTGTTACATTTCCATATATGTAAACACGCTACACACAACTCCCAATGCTCACAATACAATTATAATAATAACGATGGTACTTTCCTCAACAAAATGATGCAACGTGTTAATAAACCAAATGCTCTTGTTACATTTTCACACATGTAAACACGCTGTATGCACGACTCCTGAGTTGATCCTCGTAATACTAATTACGATAATAATGTTGATGACGGTAATAACAATAGTAATAATACCGACGACCCAGAAACGGAGGTAGCAGGATGTAACAGAGGATTTTTCCCGGTGCCGGGGCAGCAGACACAACAAAAAGGGAACGGGACTCGCACGCGTCGTTTCCCAACACGTACGACACGTCCGAGTCTAGGGAGCCGGCTATTGTATCTGCACCGTTCACGGTTCACGCTGACCGTGTAGGTACCGGCCGCGCATACCTCGATACCGTAAATATCACGCGCGTCGAACGATATCTACGGCCGCGCGGCTCGTATATTTCCCGATACCTTCGGCCGGTGCTCCCGCGAGAGGTGCACCGCGAACCACCATGGCAGGCGGAGTCGAATGCGTGAGAACGAAGGAAGATGGATCGTGGGTGGACCCGAGATGCTCGAATTGTTGACCCTTAGCGGTCCTATTTCGGGTCGAACTCGGCATTTGATTTTATTCCAGCTTCTACTTATTTTTACCAGTTTTTCTATATTTGTTTGTATCACAATTGTAGCATTGAACACGTTAATGCCACGAAAATCTTGATCAGTTTTCTGTGCAGCATTTTTAGCAGCAAATTTGCTGGATCTGGGGATAGAGATTTATGATGTTTCTTTGTCTGTGTAGGTTTCTTGGCCATTTTTCTGTAGTTATTCTTTTTAGCAGAGGAAAATAGCAATTATTCGCTATTTGGCGTTACAATCTTTGTATTGCGATATTATCCACTTGCGTTATTAAACATTTTGATTCGATATCGATTGTCTTCCATGCTACGATTGTTTTCAAGTAATTCACAATTCAAGTATCATCACAGTTGTACCATGGAACACGTTAATGCCACGAAAATCTTGATCAGTTTTCTATACAGCATTTTTAGCAGCGATAATTGAGAAATCTATGGAAGCGTAGGAGTATCTGAATAAAGGTTGAGATCCGTGAGAGTTGAACCTATGGGAACTACGGAGTCTATGGAAATTAGAGTTTAGGATCTGAAGAATTGAGAAATCTGTAAAATCTAATGGAATCTAATGGAATCTGTTGGTCTATGAAATTAGAATCAGAACATTAATTATTGTAAGAATTTGAAAGGAAGATGGATGTTTGCAACAAAGGTACCCTATAAATCAATGGAACACTCCCTTTTGTTACCGAACAAGCAGAACGTTTCCAAGAGTCCAAGAATTATGAAGAATGGCAGAAAAATGCAATTTTGAAACGACGGCATCTTATAAATCGATGGAACACTCCCTTTTGTTACCGAACAAGCAGAACGTTCTCAAAAGTCCAAGAATTATGAAGAATCTTACTTCGTAACGGTGCCACAAGTTACAAAGAAAACTTTCTCCATAGAACTTCCGTTGATCTTGGACCAATTAGCGTTCACATCGTTAACGTTCTCCCCGAAACAGCTAACACACACACGAGTACAATCAATTACACAAACCGCCCAACTTCCGTGGCAAACAGTTGCCCGAAGTTTCAATCGGAATGAAAATATTCCAAGCGATCGAACAACGTGTCCAAGAGCTTCGTATAACAATGAAATAAAACGATCGGCAAAGCGTACTAAAAGTTCAGCTCGGTACGAAACGCGGCAAAAACTGCTCGGGGAAGAAAAAAGAACTAGATAAATCACCGTGGGAGGGTAGATACCGAAGGACGTTTGACGCGGCCGCGAGTTATCGACAACGTTTGTCGCGACAGCTGTCCTCCGTGGGCGGAAACGATATCTAAGCCGGTTCGCTGTGGAATTCATCGTGTTCGGATGCCTCGATATGCAGCTGAACTATCTGTTCAGACACGTAACGTTTCAGTTCAGCGATTCTCGTGGACAATAAAATGGGACCGTTTATAGGTTAACACGTAGACGCCGCACAGTGGCCGCCTGTGGACAAAACCCCAAAATTCGACTATTCCTATAAGAAACACTAAAAATCACCAAGGTATTGCTAAATAGTCTCTGCTATACGAAATGATTCTCATATGAAAAATCAAAATTTTGTCCAAATAAATTCCGTTTCTGTTTATATAACATTGGAATCGGAACACAAAATATCCATTGTCATTTGAAAAGATATTACGAAGTTTCAATGACAATGGATATTTTGCGTTTCAATTCCAACGTTATATAAAAGTATATTTTCACTTCAAAAATAATTTACATAACATTGGAACCGAAACACAAAATATATTGTCATCGAAAAAACTTCATAATACCCCATAATGTAAAAAAATGTACCATATTAAACTCTATGCTTTACAACTTTCTGAAGCATTTCTTTGTATTACTCATATTTTTCAAGTCATTGAGTTTTGTCCAGAAAAAGGCCTGTTTTCCGTAAATATGTTACACCGAAATCGATGTTCCTCTCTTTCAATCTTGCGAGACTGTTTCCCAAGAAAATATCTCGAAAAACAATGGAACAAGAATCTACATAAACCTAGTCCAAGCCTAGTATCCACTTATTCGTCAACTGATCCACCAGCTGAATTCCTTAACCACTAAGTGATCTCTGTAGGTTCTTTGAGTCTAAGGCATTCTGTCCACTGGTCGTAGTGTACGCTGCAAAATGGTGTTTGCTTGTACGTTTCAGTGTCGTGGGCAATGTAAAACAATGGACCTTCGAGTTGATTGGTTTACAGTGGCTGCAGCACTGCAGCGCACGGCAGGCGCCATTTTGTCGCTCACGCCGCGACCTGTGGACAGTGTCTAATCCTTAGCCTCTCGCGCTATGATTTATTTCTCAACCATGACCACTGCACTTCTATTGCCATTAATAATTAATTAAAAAACAGTGATCCTAACAATGATCCTACAACCACGTCTAACACGTTAAATGCCGCGCGATTTTAAAGTGCAGAATATGCGAAATAAAAATGAATATTAAATTATTTAATCGAATTGCGTTCTTATTATCGCAGGATTGTCTTGCTGAATACCACCGCACTATTTACAATATAGGAATGTTTTCAAATAATCATCGTTTCATTAATAACCTCCATAGCATTCAACGTTCTAAAGAATAGTTAACAGAAGATTAGCGTTTCACTTAAATCCAGAATAGTCAAGTAATATCCATGCTTGTTAAACTTTGTTCAAACGGAATTTACTTGCACAAAATTTTAATTTTTCAAATGAAAATCATTCTGCATAGCAGAGACTACTTAGCGACGCATTGGTAACCAATTTTCGATACGCGAATAGTCGAATTTGGGAATTTTGTCCACACTATGCCAGACATCGAGCCATGTCGCAACCGAGTAAACAGGATCTTCGTCTCTAAAGATGGCGTAAACGCCACCATGGAAGGTTTTTGTCCGCGCGATCGTATGGGAAGGCGTCGCGCGGCGTCTTGGAGTGGCCAGATTACATACAGCGCGTCTCGTTATTCGAGTCGCGCGTGTTCCGGACGCGGCAGCGCGTGCTGGCCCCATCGAGCGACACGTGTTTCGAATCCGGATGAATTAATTGGAACGGAACGATATTGTCGGGCTTTTTATGCGTATGAATACTTAATCGCGCGCTCCGGGATTAATATGGCCGCTGTTGATGCCGGTTACGCTCGTTAGGGGATTGGCTCGTTGCCGCTTGTCCCCGGTGTATACGCTCGGTTTTAATTCTTCCCGACCGGCTATTAAAACAGAGGAGAGTGGTTTAAAAGCTGTTGAATTTTTATCCGCGGCTTTATCCATGCGTGCTCTAATTAATAGACACGATAATGGGTTTGAAAGTTGCCACGCCTCGGCTGTCGAATCTTCGTCGCGTTTTATGGGATGACTGTAAAATTCGGGTTCGACACTGGTTGAATTCAACACTTACGAGTCTGTCATATCTTATTCGAGATGATACTTCATTTGGTATTTTATGGTTATATTTGTTTGGGGTCTGCTGAATGATCTGAAGGAATCTGGTTTGAAAGGTTAATGATCTGTGAACGATAGAAAAATTTATGAATCAAGTTCTCTTTGAAATACCTAACTTTTGGTTCACATTGTACTATACTATATTATAAGATAATACGTTAAAATATAACAGTACAAATAAAATCATCTTCAAAATGGCACTTAACTTTTGAATCACCTTGTACTATACCACATTATAATATAACACGTTAATACAATACCAAAAGCTAATAACCTACAGAAAATAGACCAATACAAATAAAATAATTTTCCTGAAAATAGCACCTAACTTCCGAATCACCTTATACTATACCACATAACATAACACGTCAATACAATACAAAAAACTACTAACCTACAGAAAATAGAACGCAAATCAAATGATATTCCTGAAAATAGCACCTAACTTTCGAATCACCTTATACCATACCATAAATTAATACCTTCGCCACACATGCTGAATAAACCAAAGCAGATTCAAATTAATCGTATTCTTATCGCGCACAGACCATCCACAGTAATTAGGGGTTAACAGAGTGCAGAGTCTCATCGTCGACACGGTTTATTTTTGTTGCAGCTGTCCGGACTGGTCGTAGGCGGGATCGGTATCTGGACCGTGATTGCGAAGCACAGCTACGTATCTCTGATGACGACCTCCACGTATCCGTCTCTGGCCTACGCTTTGATCGTCGCAGGTGTCCTGGCTGTGGTCGGTAGCTGGCTCGGCTGCGGCGGTGTAACTTCTGAAAATAGATGCGTACTCCTCATAGTGAGTAACCAACGAATCCGTGCATCCCGTTTCCCCGACGCTAGAACAAACTCATTCTTATTAATAGACTATCAAATATCTCTCGCAAACTTGCTGTTGCAACCGCGAACAATAGACCGAAGTATAAATATACTCCGTTAACCCCTTCACGTATTACCTACTTTCTCTACTGAGCTTTTGCAACATTTTACTATCGACGATTTGGAAGAAGAGCAGCAGAATTTTCCGCTCTACTTCTTGCAGAAATTTAATTTGAAGATAGTACGTTGATAATAGTGAAATTGTTTTATGAAGATAAAAATGAAATTGTTATTTGAAGATAATAGATTGATAATAGTAATTGTTTTATGAAGATAAAAATGAAATTGTTATTTGAAGATAACACATTGATAATAGTAAAATTGTTAAATTAATCTAGAAATCACCTGTCGAAATCACTGGTTTGAAGTAGCTTAACTAATAAGTGAAATTCTGAGACTATCCACATTCGAGATTGGAACATTCATATCCTCATTTACATATTATAATGAACGAGGATTTAAAGACTGAACCCCTTTCGAACCCTTTGCACTCCGACTTTTCAAGACCTTAACCATTTGCACTCGAGAGGCGACTCCTAATTGTCAGATGATTTGGTACAGCAAAATTATAAATTTTTGAGATTTACCATTAACCTGGATTTATATGATTCCTTGTTAAGTTCATTCTAAAGAACCTTGTCTACACCTAATTAGAAAGTGTAGAATATTTCAAGTGAAAAACTGTCGACTGCAAAGGGTTGGGAGGAACCTTCAAGAACCCAAAATTTCGCGTCGGAAAAGACAAAAGAGATTTCAAGAATCCACGAACATCTGTAATTTGCTTTATTTTAATAAAAAGAGGAATTTATAATTTGAAAGGAACCATATATCTACGAAACTACCTCTATAGCAGAGCCAGCGGAGTGCAAAAGGTATATCCTTTCCTAACGAACGAGAATATTAAGCCTGCTTTCAATCTCATTAAAGCTTTCATTTCCCTAAGTATATTCGATCAATTTTATTCTAAATTCATGGAGTTTCGTTTATAAACGAATAATACTCACGCATTCATGAAATTTAAAATCAATTTCGATTCTCTTTCGCTCGTTTAAACCTCACGTTGTAAGTCTCCGATGAAAGACCTGTATAAGAACATAATTAACAATTGATTTTCCCGAGTGCACCGTTACGCTGCCACCAACGTTGCACACGTACACGTCGGTCAGCGCACACCAGTCCGATGACAAAGAGATTTTACGATACCCACGTTCAATCGCAATGACCAATAACGCGCGCCTAGTCGATCAAACAGAAAACGTTGGCCATTCGTCTCTCGTTGTCGGGGACGTGTAACACGGTTGACGGTGGCGCGGTGTGTCTTATCGATCATGCAGTTCCGTGCTGGCCATTTATCAGGGTCCGGCTATTGTCTGATTAATTAATTCGCTCGTTCTGGGGGAACACGCGCTCGCAGACGGAGAAGGATTTCGGCTAATGCCGGCGATAAAGGGGGATGAACCGGTGCCGCGAGGCTGCAGGAGAAAGTAACGAGCCACTCGGTTAACTCCGACGATCACTTTTGGAATTACCTGTAGCCTGGGAACCAGCTGCGCTCTGAATTGTTCTCGGAACTTTCGTAAATTCGGTTCGAGAAGCGACGCGACCGTTTCGCTTATTAATAGCCGATCGATCTATCCTCCGACTTATGTGCGGCTGTTCTCTGCTCAAGATCAACTTTCTTTCTTATTATTAGTTTAAAAGTAATTTAACGATAATTCGTAGATAAATTAAGCAACAGAGGTGTTTCATTTAAATATTTCACGTAGCAGAATTTTAGTTTGAAATATTAAATATTCAACTTCATTGTTTCGTTGTATCGAATCATGTGACTGAGAGTCACCTCTCGAGTGCAAAGGGTTAAACCGTTAATAATTATTTTCAATATCATTCACCTTTGTCATTAAAGAATAAGTATCACTAATCGACACGCTAGAAATTCTCGTGGCAGTCTGCAAAGTGCAGAAAACTTGCAACGTACGAAGCCAAATTCCACATCGAATGCTTAAACGATAGAAAACTGGGATCTATACACTCTCTTACTGTTCAAGTAATTAAATCATTCGTTTACAACTTAGTATCTCAAATATGAACATTTCATCTGGCACAACTGACAAATGGAACATCGAAATAAAATAGTGTCGTCACTTAACTTATGCAAGGTATTATTTACATTAATTGTAAAAACTACCATTGATATTTCATCAAAAAACAAGGAATATTTGCTGTAAAAAATATTCTCGAGTGCAAATGGTTAATTCACCATTCAAATTCTATAGAAACCAACAAACTGTCCAATTCCACTCTACGTTCTTATAAACCCTTATAAATGTTTCCACCGCATTTTCTCCACTCCAAGTATCGAGGGGTTGTATTCGAAGAGAAATCCGCGAGGATAATTAAAATGATAAATCGCCGTAGAGGGTATCCATCCCTCAGCCGTCGCGAGAGCGCGTTGCAAAAATGGTTTCGCGAGATTCTGTTCCCGGAACAGTTTCAGCGTGAATCAACGAGCTCGTTTCTTTCCCGAGCGAGGGCTGCTCGGGCCGAGTTTCCCTTTGACTTGGTCGACTGCCTCCGACATCGTCGCCCCGGGCTCGGAGACTTTGTCCACCGCTATAGTCCGCCTCCGCGGCGAAAACGGTGGACGAAAAGTGTAACGGAGCGGCGCGTTTTAAAGAGTGTCCTCCGCATTTAAATATCCCGACCGGCCAGCTCTTCGCCGGCCGGCGATTGTTTGTGATTTTACGTGATTAAAATCCCTCGCCGTGGTGGAAATTTCAATGGGCAACATTGTGCGCCCTGGGAAACGGTCAGAATTTTATTTAGCGTTTTAACGCGGACACCGTCTCACCTGCTTCCCAGCCCGAAAGTTTCATTTCCTGGTCGCTTGCCGGGTCCGGGTTCGATTGTTTGGTTAACCCTTTCATGCCTGAGGCTAATTTTATTTCGAGATGAATAAGTGGACGCTGGGTTTTGGGGTGTTTCTATATGAATTCCTGTTTCATTGGTTTGGTTCGAGATATTCTCTTGGGAAACGGCTTGTATTTGAGAGGATTGAGTTTGGTGTATGTATTTAGAGAAAACTGTTTTTTGACGAAACTCGGTAACTGGAAATATTGGGCATTGATTGTACTAATAAAGTGAAAGGTACTTTTGGGACAGGCTAATGTCACTCATATTTTTCGCACGAACATATTCTACTCAGTAACTTGAAAAACTCATATTTTTCTCACAAACATATTCTACTCAATAACTTGAAAAATATCACTCATATTTTTCTCATAAACATATTCTACTCAATAAATTGAAAAATTCGTATTTTTCTCACAAACATATCCTACTCAATAAATTGAAAAATTCATATTTTTCTCACAAACATATCCTACTCAATAACTTGAAAAACTCATATTTTTCTCGCAAACATATTCTACTCAATAACTTGGAAACTATGAATGACATTACCTCGTCCCAAAAGTACCTTTCATTTTACTGGTATAATCAAATCGGCATTCAACCTATCAACCACTTAACTGTGTTTGACGAGTATACACGTCATCGTGAAGCTTGACACGATACTAATTCCTTCAGCGATGAATTCTTCATTTTTTCACATAAACATGTAATCCTTTTTTGCTTCGCTTCGATCTGTCATTAAAATATACTCTGCGCGCATTTTTCGATTTCATTGCGCGCAGAACCAGAGGTTCTTCCAACTAAACTTCACAGTTAAGTTATCGAGTTTCGTTGAGAAAACGGCCGTTCGGCCGCGCCGTGGGACGCAATGAAAATTCTTCTCACGCAGCGAGACGGATTATTCTCATCGGGGAGGCCGATTTTGCCTTGAACGCACAATCGATTGCCGTCACCGTGATCGCCTGAACTCTCCGGCAAAGTCTCCCCCTTTATTTTCCCCGTAGCTCGCTCGCCACCGAATGGCGGCTTTTTCACCGCCGCGGCTAAATGAGGTGAAGAGGTGTCCAAGGGTGCACCGTTAAAAATATATCGATCTTACCAAGAACGGAATTAGCCGTCGCGATGACACAGTTTCCCGACTGTTGTCGACAAGTCTGTTCCGGAGGCTTAGCTTTTCGCCACCCGGAAAATTAACGGTCCGGATAGACATGGTCCGCTTCTTTCGAAGAAAAAACTTGGGGTCGGAGAGGTTGACAGTGTTCGTTGAAAGAAATTTTTATTAGATACTAATTTTAACTTTTAATTAACGATATTTTTAATGTGATCGATAATAGCTTTTAGAAGTTTTCAGTAGCCTCTGTTATTAACTGACTTGTGAATGCTTCATTCAATTTTTAATTTAAAATTAGGTGTGATGATTATAGAGTAAATATGAATTGAGTTATCGAGAGAAAAGCTGATTTTGTTAATATTATGTTTTCAAGTATCTTAGAGATATAATTGTGTAATTTAATAGAATATTGAAGAAGTGTCAATATTGAATATCGACGTTTCGGCGACATGGAATTTTCATATTTCTAACACAGTCGCAAACAAATGATCGAATTACTGAAATAGTAAGAGATCAACACGTTTTCTGGTTTTCCTATTATTTAAGCAATTGATGTATCATTTAGCTTCATCTGCTGAAGGTTTTATATATTTCAAAGAATCTTCGTCCGCAAAGGGTTAATAGGTAGGTAGAAAAATATTATTCAACGGAAAGGGGATGCACGTCTGTGCAGCTTAGTGGATATTAATTCAAATTCCCGGAATCAGCCGTGAAAGAAAGACATCCCACTTTATTCTTATCTGCGCGGTGAAAATTTACAATATCCTTTTCCCTGGAAACGTCGGAGCCAGAATACACCTTGCTCGCGCTGGGAAAGAAACGTATGAAGTATGTCTTCATATGAGCTGTTCTTTATTCGTTTGATGTTCGGAATCCATCCATAATTTTTCCTTTAC